GGGGGGGGAATTACATTTATTAGTCAGAACAAAAGATGGAAAGCAGCAGAGTGCAGGAGATGATCCACAAAGGATGCACTCAGCACCGAACCGATCACCTGCCTGAGCCTGCGAACATGCATAAAACGTCAGACTTCAAAAGGCAACAGTGGGTGGAACAACCGCACACTGCACATCCTCTGAGCAAAAAGCATCTATACTCAAGAAGTCTGAAAAGGAAAATAACTCATATCATGCCTTCAAATGTTTCTTGATATTGGATAAAGATGGCTTAGAATCATACTTGTCAGATGCCTTCTCTCCCCACACACCCCCCCCTTTTTTTTTTAAAAGTGTTAGAAATTTAACTCTTGCCTACCATGGAAGATTTCTGTGATTTGCAGAACTAGAGAAATTATCACATGGTTTTACTTAATCCAACAGGCTGACAAATGGGTAAGTGGAAGCGATAGGGATATTAAATCACAGTGTGTACAAATCTATATGTTCTGACAAAAAAATACAGAAAGGTAAAAGGAGTTGAAGTGAGAGTGGAAAGGGAGGAATGCGAGGGAGCAAGGAGTGGGGCAATGAAGAGTCCTAAGGAGGACAACAGAAAAAGCTATCAGTAGTCTGAGAAGAAAAGGCAATTATGGAACTGAGAGAAACAAGAAGAAAACACAAGGACAAACCAAAACAACACAGGAGAAGGCAAGTGAAAAGGAAAACAGGAGATAGCAGAGGAAAGGGTAGAAGGAAAGGAGAGAGAGCAGAGGAATGTAATGCAAGAAAGAAAAGAGGAAAGAACAATGTCAGTAAAAGCTTAGAACTGACTAAAAATTGAGGGAACAGCAAGAGGAAGGTATCTAGGAATTTAAACATCACTTTCATTGCAGATGCCTCAAGAAAAAGGGGTATAAAACATAGGGAAGTTTAAATCAGTGTAAGAACTTTGGTCATTTTACATTTAAAAGAGAGAGACTTGTACTCCTTCAGAATTGCTAAATTTGACCAACAAGTAGGTCTTATTTGTGCTATTTTACACCTTGGAAGCTGAAAGTGTTTCCCCCTGGAGATAACAGCATCAAGCTGAATGGTGTTTACGGTCACAGTCTAAGGAAACTTGCAGTTCTGTTGTTCATGATGTGACTTTTCTTCAGAAGTACAGGACTTTGGCACACACGGTTCTTCCTAATCTCTGTGAACCTGGCCCTGCGGCAGGGTAAGCATTTCCATCACAACACTAAGTGCTTTTGCTCTCACTAGCTTCAGTTAGAATCAGGACAAGAAGCACCTGGCTTGATCAGTCCCTTGAATTCAACTGCAAAATAGTAAACGCTTTTTTTCCCCCCCCAACAGATTTCTGGAAACACATGTGGGACCAAATTCTGCCTGCCTTTGCACTGATGCAAATCTGGATATGCACACTGATGAAGACAGAGTCACTCCAGGTTCATTCCAGTGTGACTGAAGGGGAAATCTGGACCACAGCTTCTTTGTATGGATACAAAATTAAAAGCAGCCACAGCTTTCCTTAGCTTAACACCACCCTATTTCGTAGGATGTTCCGAAACAACTAGAATAGCTACCACCCACTCAAAAAAGAAAGTAAACACGTAACAAAAATGAAACTGCTATTTTGAGACACATCTTTACATACGCTTTCAGCTCAGGCCAACAGCTCAGTACCTGAATTTGATCTCCAAGTGAGCTCTGTACGAGGGATACAAGTAGTTAGAAAACCCTTCCCTTCCTGCCCCCCCCCCCACCGGGTAAAGGGTTGATAAAAATATTACCAAAAAAGAGCAAACATAGTCCTCTGATGTTAATTTTCAGAGTCAGTCCTTGGAATCTAAACATCTTGTTAGAAACATGCCTTTCTCATACTTCTTTGACTCTTAGGTCATGCTCTAAGCTCAAATCAACGCCAGTTCAGCTACCAGTGATAAAAACATTGTAAACCATACAGACAGCAGTTCCTATTACTAAAGAGGCCCTACTCTTTCTGCTGTTAGATGCTATTTTTAGTTGCTTATGTCTAATCATTCAATTAATCATTCCTGCCTAAGTCTTCTTTTTATGTCAAGGACCTACTTGAAGCAGTTTTTGTTTATCGACTTTGCCATTTTAATTGAATGCTACTTCCCAGAAGATTCTTGGGGGGGCAGGGAGGGCGGGGGGAATATGGGTTTTGCTTGCATTTCTTGGTTATAAGAACAACATTTACCAACTCTTTTGCCTCAGTCCTCTTGAGCAGAGTTAAGAAATTTAACACCACATGGCAGAGGTGTGCTTTTGGTTGCTGTCATAACACAGACACCTCCATGGTACCAGGCACTAACTCCCAATCAGACAGCAAGTTTCTGCTGTGTTCTCAGCAAAACCCCTCCTATTCCCACATCTAGAATTTGACTTGTAAGATGAAGGGGAAAACAACCAATGATGGCTTTATCTTTTCTGCAGCCATTCTCCTGAATGTCACTTGATTAAACACACCTGAAGCAGCATGAAAACACTAGATGCAGCCCCTAACAATATAGCCATGATGTTATAGCATAGTGGGTTGCACCAATTAAGGTGACAAAACTCCACTTTTTCACTTATTTGGTTTCTCCTACAGATGTTGCAGTTGATCCAAATTTGCATGCTACCACAATGCTAGCAATAGCTAAGCAAGCCACTTCAAAACTAAGTCAGATATGGGTGCACCCTAAATCAGAAAGAGGTAAGAAGTGAAGCAAGAGAGGCTGCTGGAGCCAAAGGGAGCTAAGAGGCAGCAGTGAGGAGGAGGAAAGTAGCTAGTAGTAAGTTTTGGGGCAGGGATGGAAAGGGAGAAGAGGGGATCCCCCAAGAAGTGGAGGATCTGAGTTAGAGGAAAGGAAAGGTTAGATGCTGTGGGGAAGGGGGAGCAGATGCAACTAGAGATAAAGGGATGTGTTATGCAAGCAACAGACAGAAGTTGCAATAGGGAATAGAGCCAAAACTGTCTACAACTAATAGAGAACATTCCCCTGCAGAAGCTGGGATGTAACTCAGAAGTACAGTCCTTGTATACCCCCAGCAGCAGAAAACAGCTGTACGTCTTGTCTGCGTCTCATCCCCTTCTGACATCTGATCTACGTACACATGTACTACTGCCACCACTGATGGCATGCCATTAGCGCCGACAGTTCAATAACCGTGCACCCCGGATCAAAACGCCCAGACCTTCTTAACGCTAGGGGTTTTTTGTGGGGTTTTGTTTGGGGGTTGTTTGTTGAAAAACTCACAGAACACTATCAACTTTTTCCTTCTTTGCTTTTTCAAGTTAGGAAAGAACATCACAGAACTGTGATAAAAGAACTCTACTGTATGGGAGTTATAAAATCAAGCCCCCAAATGTTAGACAATGAAAAAATTTAGGTTGTGTTTTCAACTTCTTTTCAGCCCTATGATTGCAGGCATTTGGATGTATTCTGCAATTATACTATCACATGCAAATCTTTTCCAGTGACCTCTGTCATCTAGAAACCTGGATGTATTCTACTTTGGGAACACAGTAGGGTGGTGAAGTGACAGAAATACTGCACAAAGAATCCCCACCTGAAATTTTGTGCAACCTGGAAGCTGTGAATTAAAAGTGTATTTGCAGGCAGATGGAGGATGAAATCACAGTTAGGAAGCCTGAAACCCACACTGGAGAACTAGATGCTACCCCCATCTCTGCTATAAAGTTATTCTGTGACTTCACACAAGTGACTGAAATTTATTACTATTAGTTTCTAAGTACACATCCTCACTTTCTCAATTTCCAAGATCTGCCAATGTGCTGAATGCTCACAGCTGGAACTGGAATCAGCTGCTGATGTTTCCTGAATATATAATGGAAAAAAAAAATCTTGAATACTCTGGGAAAGCAGAACTTCAGTCTCTCAATGTTTTAAACACAACTTTTTTGCAATACTAGCATATACATAGTACAGTTTAATAAACACTGGAAACAAAATAATAAGGTTAAGAATATCAGTGCAACTCCTTGAGACAGATACAAGCAGCCATGAAACATGTTCCCCTTGCTGTAAACCAGGCAAGCCATAACTGTCAGTCTGGATAAGGCTAGTAAGGCTCTACTTTGAAACAGCTAGAGCCAATGGCTTAAATCAAGTACAGACATGACTGAGAGGTTTTACTTCCTTCCCTGCACATAAACACATAGAACTTCTGATACCACAGGAATACTTTTTTAGCGTTCAAGTAGAAACTGTATGTTGTCAGTGCATTGTAATTTTTTCCAATAAGCACAACGACAGAATTATCCAAATCTACAAGGTCATGTCTAAGAAAGTTGAGAAAAATCAGATACAGTTTTAAGCAAAACAAAAAGCTGACAAAATACTTGGGGGCAATCCTTAAAATGTTGTCTTATCTTTTAAAAAAATAAACAAAGCAGCAGTTTAAGTAGTTTTAAACCTCATGAGCTTGTTTCTCATCTACAGTAAGAGCAGGGCTGGAGCAAGGAGTTGGTCACACAGCAGGGGATCAGCGTTCAGCGCACAGAACAGAGCAACCAACTCTCAGACTACAAGAAAATTAGTCCTTTTCCCCATGTTTTTCACCTACACCTCATGCCTTTGCTCATTTAGTATTTAGTTCTCAAAATCTGTCATTTACATTCCAGTCTGAAACTTCAGCAACGTGTTCACAAACCATGAAGGCATCTGGGAAGCTACACTCTGGTAAGGCAAAGTGCCCAGTAAGTTAGAACATGCACCAATCAGTCATTAAAAAAAATTACCCCCAGTTACTGACCTCTGAACTTCTTTGGAGGATTAGCAAGGTCACCTGCCTCTGGCTGAACCACACACCGGTCATCCACTAACCTAGAAAAACAAAAGTTATTACACTTACTAAAACACACATTTGACATCAGCGTACACAAATGCAGAGCCATACCTGTTGCGCCACAGATACAGAAGCATACACATTTCTCCAATTTAATTCAAAAAATACCTTAGAAACTCTATTATTCAGTTACTAAACATAACCAAGAAAAGAAAACTCTACATTTTCCTTCAAGAAAGAGGATTTCTTCTATTGCACTAAATTATGGCCTATGTTTCAGATCCCACTTCATTTCAGTCCGGTTAAAGGCCCTTTTGATATATCACGTACACTGAAGTTACATGTAAAATTCTTGTTTTCTTTCCTTAGAGTCCATTAACTCTGAATCAGAAAGAGCTTGTTTCACTGCAGCTGTCAGATTTCCACAGCTATTACCCTACGGCATAATCTAAAATTCATCAAAACCAACAGACAGACTCTGAGCCACTTAAATGGGCCTTGGAAAAAGACCCCAAAGAAAAACACTGGGAAGACACACTTGTATCTTATATGAGAAAGGACATTTGAAGCACCGCAGGTTAGCTTGGCCCTATACTTGCAAGCTGCGTCCTACTTGCAGATTCCTGCATCCCCACCGAGGACTTAAGGGGATGCACAGTAAACAGCCTTCACACGGCTACAAGAGTATATGGGGATCTGCTTACATGATCAGGACATGCAGGGGGGTTTCTCCAGTGATTTGCTGTTTCATAACACTGTTTTATATAGAATTTGAAACTGGAATCCGATGGAGCGCCTTGGATGTTAGTCTTAAAACATTCTACTATTCTTTTTCACCATTTCCAATCTTTTTCCTCTGAGGAGGCACATCGAAATAAGATTCAGCTCTGATCCAAACTCACAGGACCACATTTTCCTTTACTAAAATGAATAAGCATTTATTTAATCCACAGTAGAAAATCTAAATAACAAATCAAATATATTTCTCACAATATTTTAGAAGTTAAATAAACAATAAAATTCAAAAATATAAATTGTTAATCTTCTCACACAACCTCCTAAACATAAATTCAGCTTCCTTTCAGGAAACATCTGTAAATAATCTGTGTGTTTCAAACAATTATTCAGGAAAATCATGTTTAAGGACACACTACTGCCCTGCCATTTTGCAACAACAGTCTTAGCAGCATTTTCTGTGGGAAATTGCCAGAAAAAGCACAATTTGGGTTCAGTCAAATTACACAACAGATGCATTCAGTTTTCATTCAAGTTGGTGAAGGCTTTGTATCCAGCCACAAGCGCAGCAAGTCTGATCCCCCAGCATGCCCATGAATTTTCTACCTCTAGCAAGCTGGCTGCTGACAAACTGCCTACTGTGGTTGCTGCTCCCAGAAACAGAAGCAAAAACGATAAAGAATTTTGGAAGTCAGCAGCTCAGATGTCATAACGTACTTGGATGCAAATGTGAGGTGTCAGTGAGCAAGGAGAATTGAAGTAACAGTTCTCGGAGCAAGCAGGGGACCTGCCATGGCCTTACGAAGTTGTGTTTTTTCACAGTCTAGGTTAGGCCAGGCTTAACAAGAACAAAGTGAGGTTTAGAAAGCAGGACTCAGGAAGAGTTAGTCCTGCAAGACAACCTCTGTCTATGATCTAATTGGCCAAAGCTTCCTATAAACAGCACCTAAAACCTGGAGTCACAGAAGAAACAGGGGTGGAAAGAACCACCTCAACAGAAGCTTTGCCAAAGGATTTATTGCCAAGAAGCACTCCCCCCTCAACAAAATCCCTCAGAGGTTCTCTGAATGAACCCATAATGTTTGACCCTTAAGCACTGTCAGGATGGAGGACAGTACATTAGAAGCTGAGCATAATTCACGTGGAACATCTTGCGTTCCTTGGTGACAACTTGTGCACTCTCGTGACAACTACAGCTGTGGAGGAAATGCAAAAATTTCATCACGGGACCACATCACCGTAACAAAAGCCATATAGAAAACAAGGTGTTGATGCTGAGAAAAACAAACAAGATCCTGCACATTCTCTGAGCCAGTTAGCTGCAGTGTTCAAACATGTTAAGACTTCCAAGGTTCAGAAAATAGACATTAAACCATTAGTACCACTTTCATTTAAGCATTTTCTAAAGGCACAAAGACAAGGACCATGAGTTCTGCAATCATTAGGAACCAAAGACATCAGACAACACAAAGGAGAAAGGAACTGCTGCTATGCCTATCCTATAGACATGAAATGAGAGCACAGAAAGATTAATTGCCATGTGGCAGGGCAGTGGCATGAGAGACCAGAAACATCATCTCCTGAACCCTTGCTCAGTGCGTCCACTTCTGACACCTTTGTTTCTTATAAAGTATGTGAATAAAGTATTACTTTGTCCATATAGCAGTCTTCCAACAATTCAATCCCCAAAATTTCCATGTAAGGACATTCATCCTGTATTCCAGCAGTAAGCCCTTCAAAGAATTCAGTAGCTACTTGTTTTCTGTGGAGGTGCTTGTTACAGTACCGTAGTGAGAGCCGAGTTGGACCGTGCACATGATGCAAGACTTCAGCCTGTTCTGTAGACTGGAACAGAAGAGGCTCTTCAGACACAGACCACTTCCTCATATACAGTTCAAAACACTCAAATACCACTTTTTATACTGAGCCAAAAGGCAGCTGTTGGTTGGTTACTGAAGCCTGCTAGGTGGTTGCGTTAAGCAACAAGTAATTCATGACCTTTGTAACCTGCTGTCGCAGTTTTCATACATTAGCAGCATATAAATGACAAAGGAGTTCCCTGCACATGTATGATATGATTTTTATTTGTGCACGTTCTTCCCTGAACACAATAAATATCTGGTTTGTGCACAATGCCTCCAAGTAATTGTTCTACTGCTGTAGTAATTAAGTTGTACGGTAGTTCACTGGTGCCTAAGATAAATCATCAGAAAAGTCAAAATAGTAATTACGGCCCTGGACTTTACGCATACTCTTTTGTATTCAGTAATTGCAGAATTAGGGTTTGAAAGTAACAACCTTCATGGGCTTGCTTGTCTTGGATGCCCAGTCATTCTCCCACTGAAGTCAGCAAAAGTTTTTCCACTCACTGCAGGGGAAGCAAGGGCAGCTCCTTACCATGACGCCAACCACACAGACTACCTGGTATTTAAGCCATTAAGACCTCATGCTACAGTGTACAAAGCCACATTAAACAAGAATTGAAACTATCTAAAGCAGTGCCCAGGAGTTAAGGTGTGCTTCTCAGCAGAGGCAGGGGAAAAAAGTAAAGGCAGCTTTCAACTCTGTTAGCCTTAGCCAGGATAGTGCACCATATCATGTCAAGTGGTCAGAGTATGAACCTGTACAAAGTCCTACACCCATCTTCCTCTCCCCTCATTTTCCCCCATCATTTGGTGGAGTTAAATCTGTCCTTTCTCACCACACACAAAGCCAAACATGTATAAGCATTCAATTTAGTAATATCTTGCAGCAATGAATTCCATGCATAAGGTGGCACCTGTGTGAACGTATTTATAAGCAGTTTCAAATACAGTGCCAATCATTTTTGTTGTTTCAGCAACAAAAGGACAGTATCAGCTTCTCTCAATACTATTCATCATTTGTATTCAGAACTTGCCTAGTATAAACAACTTCCATCTTCCCATACAGTTTCTAGTATCACTCCGCTCCCTAGGCACTGGGCAGAAGCAGGGAAACAATAACTTGCAGTAGTTCTTTTTTCTACTGACTAGAGCAGTAGCCCTTGTAGGGACTCTCCCTGAAAGAAAAAACAGAACAAGCCTGTGAAGAACCAGTTGGGACTCACTGTGTATTTGGGGAAACAGGAGAAAGGACGCACTGACAGGAGGAGCAGGACTAAGCGGTAGCAGTATAACTGATAAGGCAGGTATGTTGGCAGAAAAGACTAATGGTACCTGGGTTTACAGATATGAATCATATGTGCTACGAGCTCTTCTGATTACCTAACATAGGCTAAAGGTAAATACACCAAAGATCTCTAGGAACTTGCAGATGTAGAGCAAGGGTCAAGGAATAGTTATATAGCTGTAACTATAGTTATACAGCTATAACTTCAAATTTTTTTTCAATAGTTATAGCTTCAATTTTTTAAATATCATCTTGAAATGTATTTTGTCTCTTCCTACCAACAGACTTCCCCTTCTCATAGCCAATATATTAAGCAAAACATTACCTAAACACACAAGACAAAACACACAAGCACACAGACTCTCTCACACATGTAACTACACATACATGCCTGTGTGTCCGTAACTTGTTAAAAAAATACAAGACCCAGTTACTGATGTCTAACTATTACAACACACAGGGATTAGAAACCTTCAGCTTGGTGCTCTTCACAGATATATAGAGTATTTTACTCCTCAAAAACCTCAATAAACTAAGCCAGAGGCAATGTCTTCAACCTAAGACACACTCTCAGTTGCTCAGCTTTTACTCTCTTAATGGTATGATCATTTCACTGATTTTCTGCGCAGCATAAAGCCTGACAGCAGCAGAAGAGGGGGTCAATGCTGACAATAGAGGAGCTGGACATTTTAATTGCCAGTGGAGCCAAGCAATATCTTTTTTTCAACATCAGTTCATAAATCATGCTGAGGTTACATCCCAAAGACACATAAACCTCAACACTCCCTTATGAACAAAGGACCACCCCTCAAAGCCTCCCTTCTTTTGCTCTTCAGACATCCCCTCACATACACAACCTCCTTATCAGAAACACTCCTCCAGATCACCTTCCACCCAACGCACTTCTTCCCTTCCTAGCTGCAGCTCTCACCTACAAAGCCTCTCCTGTGCTCCACACATCCCAGCACAAAGTAATCACTCGGGAAGAGAGGTGCTAGTCATATCACTAAGCAGCCAACAAATAACCAACAATAGGTTATTAAAATTTTGCTGCCCTGGAAATCAAGCATCAAATACTTAAGTGCCAAAACAATCAGGTCCACCCAGTTCTCCAAGTCCACCCACTTTTCATTTCACTGAGCCTCTTATCAGG